CCACACATATTTTCTGTAACGATGATTTCTTGCCTCTAAATCTATTTTGTTAAGATTGAAGAACTCTATCAACATTTTTTTTTCGATATTTGTTTTTAATATGTCCAATAAATTTTGATTGTCTTTGTAGTAAATTGTTTGTTTCTCCTTTAAATGTAATTGTAAGTTGCATAATAATGGATACATCTCATTTAAATCAAATTCAAATATTCTCCATAATACTTCTGATGCATATACCCATCTTCCATCTTGATAATTTTGAATCTCATCAAAATTATTATATGCATTCTATTGCGAAAATGATACTTAAATTTTGTCATGCCCTTTGTAGATGTATTTGTAAATGTATTTCACTTCCTTCATACTCGAACATATCTCAACATTTATAACAATTATATCTAGTCTATATAATAAATATGGGTTATAAGGAACTACGCAACGATTATCTAAAATATAATTTCTCACTTTTACTTGTTAACTATCATTTTTTTACAATAAATTGAATATGAGTCCTTACCAATTACTGTCTGAGATGAGAAAAATATATGATATTTATTCTTGCATAATCCTTTCTTTATACAAGGATTATTTTTGTTTAATGTTCTGCATGACCATGCATCATATGCTTTACAAATAATTCATGCAATCATTTAAACTTCGATGGATCCAACAATTCTGCAGACACAATTCTATCAAATTGCATTGGAGTTGATATCTTAAATCCAGTCTTCAAAATAAGTAAGAAATGTGCATGTGGAATGACTCTTTTTTTAAAATTTTATAACATATTCATGAGCAGTCACACCTCCAAAAAATAGATTTTAATTTTTAAAATAATTGGTCCTTGAAATCTTGTAATTTAACCCTGCAAATAAGTGTAGTTAAGTCTGACCTATCATGTGTAGATTGCCCTGACTTCAACTTATTCTAAATTTCTTGCCAATCAGGATTGCATGTAATTATTATGAACAAATCAGGTTTTTCAAAATGTTGGATAAGATCCATTGCGTCCAAATATCTATGTCTCATATCACAAGGTCCCCCAATAAATGTGGGTGGAAGTATAATTTTTTGACTGACATTATTGCTTAATGTTTCACCAACTGCCACACTACAATAATTCATTTGTATAATTCTGATCTAATTGTATATTGATTTTTTCTATAAAAATCCAATCGACTTGTTTCAATCTTCACATACAAGCCAACAACATATTGATGCAATAATCTACCAACACATAAAATAATTGATTTAGTATGTTCTCGAATTTGAAGGTTGTAACTATAATATTCTCTACATGAAATCCTTTCTTTTGATGACTTTTGAATGCCTGTAAAATTCAAAAAAAAAAATTTAACATTTGGTAATATAATATAATTGGAAAAAAAATTTATTAAATAATATAATAATTTACCATGTTCTTCTTGGATGAATAACTCTTCCTCTATTGCAGGCCGAGCCATTATTTGGATAAGCACATAATCATTACTTCTTTGAAATTTAGAAGTTTGATTGATATTTTGATGTCATCCAACTTCTCCATTTGGGAATAGAATAAGATATTGTAAATTATCATAACATCCAAAATAATGTTTGATCTTTCAATATATGCAAGAATGTGAAGTCAAAATGATACCAAGCTCTACTACACCTATTGTATTATTTCTTCCAATCCAATATTGCTTCTACTTATGACATAGTATGAGAATTATAAACTCTCTGATCTAATAATACAGTAGATGTAATGCTTATTTCAAAATTTTCCAATAATTCTCTATTATTCAAAGACCTGGAGAATTGTGCATAAGGATTTTCAGAAAGTATATCCATTAATTTTTTATCAATTCTGTCTAAAAGTTCAAGTTTCAATAAACATCATTCCTATTATTTCTTTAGCATCAGTATCATATATATAAATATATATATATATATATATATAATATATATTATATAATATATATATATAATAGTATATGTGTGTGTGAATTATAACATGGGCCATTTAATCTTTTACAATCGGTGAGACTATGATAAATTTATCTATGAGCTCTAAGTGTGAAATCTCTTATCTTGAATTTGCTAAATCTTTATCAATAGAGCTCCAAAAAATGTGAATGTTAATATACATTTATCCCCTGATCTCAGCTTTAAATTCTTTCGATTCAAGTGAAGCTGATGTGAATAATTCAAAAAGTTGCTAAGGGACATTGTTGTTAAGCAAAATCATTCCATGTATAACAGCAAAATGTTGGTGGTTCATAATGGAATTCCTTTGCATTGATAATAGAACATATATGTGGTCCTAAAGAACATGCATTTTTTGACATAATTAATCATATTCTATAAACATCTTTCATATTTGAAACTTCAGAATCTATTTTTTAAAAAAAAATTATACTTTTAAATTAAATATCTAGAAATATATATATATAATATATATAAATATAATATATAATATATATATATATATATATATTATATATATATATATTTATTATTAATTACAAGAAACTACCTGTTGAATGCGATGATGATGGCAAACATGTAATTTAAAGATATGAAAATGCTTTCTTCTTTTCTAGCAAGAATTATGGCTTCGTTTTTCCTTTTCTTTCCTCAGCAGACATTTTAGCATATTATCCCTATCATATTCTATTTGTCTTTGCCTTTTCATGTCTAATATATCTATAAAATTATAAACAATGTAATTATAGAAATTAAACAGGATAAAATTAATAAATTTGAAATATATGATCGACACTTTAAAAAATTACCAGATAAATAGATGCAATTAGATAAATAATCAATATTATTTGTATATTTGAAAATATGTTATCGATATACAATATTTTATGTTATTATAATTTAATAAGAAATGCTGGAGTTGATTGAGAGATTATTTCAAGATTTATTGAATGATTTATTTAATAGCATGAGAAATTAAATATTGTTTAGTACAATTTCAATATATGAAGTGTCAAATCATGTTTTACTACAATTTCAAAATATTGAAGTGTTAGATCATTACATATTCTTTTTAACTGGTAAAGAATTTCAAGGAGAATGATAAAAATTATTAAAAAAATGCCAATAATAAGTTAGACACAAATTACGTGAGAATTTAATGTCATGAAAATAAATGTGGATAAAAACTAATGTAACAACAACAACGATAACAACATCAAGCCTTTATCCACTATGTGGGTCGGCTACATGAATCTTTTTTTCTCCATTGTGTCCTATTAAAGGTCAAGTTCTCGTTAAAATTATAAAAAAGACATTCCTAATATTTTTAACCAAGTCTTTATAGTCTACCTCTACCTCTAATATAAGTCAAATCTAATATCTTTACTTTCCTAACCGGGTCATTGGAAGGCCGCCGTTTTATGTGACCAAATCATCTAAGGCGACTCTCTCTAATCTTATCTTCTACAAGCTACTCCAAACTTTTCACATATATACTCATATTTCGTATTCTATCTCTAAGGTAAAGCCACTCATCCACCTAAGCATCCTCGTCTCTGCCACACTTAACTTAGTATTATGCTTCTCTTTTAATAGCCAACATTCAGGCACTATAAAGTATTGCAGCCTCACTACCATCTATATAGAATTTTCCCTTCAGTTTGAGGGGTACTTTTCTATCACACAATAAACCCAATATATTCCTCCACTTCAACCATCCAACTTGAATTCTGCTGATAATATCCCCATCTATTTTACCATCACTCTGAACAATAGATCCAAGATATCTAAAACGTGTACTCTTATTAATGACTTGATCGCCCAAAGTCACAATCCCCTCACTAGGTCTATACTACTAAAATTACACTCTTATAATTCCGTTTTAGATCTACAACAACAAACAACAACATCAAGCCTTTATCCCACTACGTGGGGTCGGCTACATGAATTCTTTTCTCCAAATATTACTTAGGGGCAAATGTTAGATCTACTCAACGAAAATCTTTAGTCTCTAATGTTGACCTCCATAATTCAAGTTTACACTCTAGTCTTATCAACAAGAAGAATATCATAAGCAAAAAGCATACACCAAGGTACATCCTCTTGCAAATGTCCAGTGAGAACATCCATGACTAAAGCAAAAAGATATGGGCTTAAGGCTGATCCTTGATGTAACCCAACCGAAATAGGGAAATACTTAGTCAATCCATCTTGTGTTTGAACACAAGTAATAGCTCCTGCATACATATCTTTAATGATTTGAATATAAGCATTATTGACTCCTTTCTTTTCAAGAACTCTCCATAGCACTTCTTTTGGTACTTTATCATATGCTTTTTCTAAATCAATAAATATCATATGTATATCATCCTTATTTTCTCTATATTTCTCCATCAAACCTCTTAATAAATGTATGGCTTCCATAGTCGACCTACCCGGTATGAATCCAAATTGATTTTGAGAAACATTAGTATCACGCCGCAACCTATGCTTCATAACTCGCTCCCATATTTTTAAAGTATGACACATTAACTATAAATAATAATATTATAGAATATTGAAAGCATAATTTCATAAAATTTATAATTTTTTATAAAATAAAATAATGAAAGGCAAGAAGTAGATGATAAATAAGCAGGAACAATCATAGCCTCAATATGTTAGATGTAGACGATTTATGAAAATAATCCTAAAAAGAAAGTGAAATATTTGTTATGGGAAAAAAATTATAGAATAAAGTAGTACATGAATTTGTTTAAATATATCCAATGCTAAAAAGATGCATATATAAATTATAGAGGAGATAACTAATTTGATACAAAAATAATAATTTGAAACCATCTAGATAAACAAGGCCGAAAATTAGCTTCTCATCACATAAAGAATAGAGAAAGCAAAAGTAAGAGATTGCTTCAAGAGGAAAACAAGATTGAATTGAAAATTTCTAATTTGAACAAAAGAAATATTTGATTTAATGTAAACTCATCGTAGATAATAAAATATACAAAAGCTATTAAAATAGATAAATTCATTACCTAATCTTTGAAGACGAAAGAGTAGAGAGCCTGAAACAAAATGCAAACCACAAAGATATAAGGGAAAACTGGTGAGAATAGTTTAAACAATTATATATGATGGAGAGGGAAGAAACTGAAGATGTATTTTGGTATACAGAGCAGATTTTTTTGCGCTGTGTTTCATTTTTTGTATATGTAGATACATGTGGTTTGAACAAATAATATAGCATCGCATAGCATTTATCAACAAACAAAATTACACTAAATAAATAATAAAAATAGATTCATGATAATAGAGAGAATAGTACATTTAACAACAAGATGATTCAATTGAGCTCAATGAATCAATATACATGAACTTGACTACAAGTATGGAACTCGACCACATATAGTACTCTTCCCGAAAATGAATTAATGAAATTCATTTTATGAACCGCTTGCATGAACTATTAGTTCGTTATATGGAACTATTTAATAATTGATTGGTTTTAGTATAAACATCAACGATTTAAGTGAATAATGACTTTTGGGGCTGTCACTATCGTGTGGTACAAACGACATGATGCAAACCAATCCAAATATTTCCATAAATAAGTATATAGTCCCATCATATCATTCTATTTAGTTTGCTCAATGATTTAGCCTTGAGCAAAACATCAAACAGTGGAGGTAAATGCCTATTTTTTACACAGTGCAAGCATAATTACCCTCTTTTAGATAAGTATTAGTTCTATATACCCTCGGTTAGAATCCCTTACCCGATATGTTATATCAAAGATATTAAATTATATATATATAAATATTAAATACAATATTTAGTTCTATTGCTTCAGACGTCTTTGAACCATAAGATTAACAACTGGAGGTAAAGGAAAGAATTCTGCCACTCGTTGAAAATATCAGAAATTTGAAGCAATGCGCCAATGATGAAAATCCATTATATAGAATTCATAAATTTCATTTGTTTCACTTTTGCCAACTGCACCAAGGTGTCCAAATCCTAACAGGATAAAGGCTAATGTAATACCTTCCTTTTTAAGAAATGTAGAGTAAGTTTATATGTGAGATTGTAAGAGTTCAAAACATGTCATAGAAAAAACAAACAAAGATAATCAATTTTTTTTTTTAATAAAAATAAAAAATCGCTTTCGAATGGCCTCAAACAATCCAATAAATATTTGTTTTTGTATTTAGATCAACCATGCATCAGTTTTGAGTGCTCAGTTAGCTAGAAAACCAGATTAGCAGATAATATAAAGTTTGAATATCAATTAAATTACTCCAGTATGTTTTTCAAATATCTACTCTTACTTTTAAACTCTAAATATAAATACATGGCACGCATAACATGAAACCAAACTATGGTACAAGTACAACAAATATGATGCCTGTATCATGCAGAAATGAATTAGATTCAAAGAAGCAGTAAAATTTAAAAATTTTGCCCCAAAAGGGAAGGAAGCTGCAGAAAATGCAAGACCATACAAGTATACACAGCGGATAGTTTCTCAAATATCTACATAAATGTGCTCAACATTTTATTTATATAGAAGTTTTTGTATCTGACAAGATTACTACCATCTTCTTTAAAAACACAAGCTTACATGTTTCAGGGGTAATGTGCCTTCTCATGCAATCACACATCATAATATCATTTTCCAACATAAGTATCCATTAGCACTAAAGTTTTACCTAACTTTAGCATTAGGTAAACTATAACTTTAGTGTTAGGTAAACTATAACTTTAGCTTCAGGTAAACTATAACTTTAGTGTTACATAACTTTAATTAAAAAATGAGCTTACGCTAAACTATAACTAAATACTTTTCTTAGTTTGATGTCAACTTACATTAATTTACTCTTTTTCATCAGTTTAACTGCTCAATTATAGAGGAATTAAGTTAATGTGTCATACTTTAAAACTATGGAAGCGAGTTATGGAGCATAGGTTGTGACGTGAAACTAATGTTTCTCAAAATCAATTTGGATTCATGCCGGATAAGTCGACTATGGAAGCTATACATTTATTAAGAGGTTTGATGGAGAAATATAGAGAAAAAATGAGGATCTACATATGATATTTATTGATTTAGAAAAAAGCATATGATAAAGTTCCAAGAGAAGTCCTATGAAGAGTTCTTGAAAAGAAAGGAGTTAATAACGCTTATATTCAAATCATTAAAGAGATGTATGCCGGAGCTATCACTTATGTTCAAACACAAGGTGGTTTGGCCAAGTATTTCCCTATTTCGGTTGGGTTACACCAAGGATCAGCCTTATGCCCATATCTTTTTGCTTAGTCATGGATGTTCTCACTAGACATTTGCAAGAGGATGTACCTTGGTAATTTTATAGTATGGACTATGAAAATTACCACCCATCCCTTTTTATTATATAAGCGATTATGAGGAAAATCTTAGAAGGCAATTTTTATATTAGATATGATACTACCAATAGAGTTTGCCCTAAATGAAGATTTTATGGCCTAAAATTACCACACCTTCTTTTTCAAGGAATAATGGTTGAATACTCACAAAATCCTGATTGCATAATGTTAATGGTATATTCCCCTATTACCAACTATATATTTAGGATATTTGAGGAATATGAAGCATGAGGTGATGAATGAAGTCTATTGTAATCAACAAAAGAATATAATTATTTTGTCAGACAATTTTAAGAAACATAATTCAAACAAAAAAATATTCACTTCTAAAGATGAACTTAATAAACGATTTACGTCGTAAAATTAACTACCTAAATTTGAAGCCGAAATAGTGTCCACATTCACAAATTCGCTGAAGTAGAAATAGCAGAGATCCAAAAACGAAACCCAAATCACAGAAGCGCTAAAGGGAGAACATGTGAGAATAATTTTACCAATTATATAAGGGAGAAAGAGAACATGCGACAGTCATCTTACGGGCACCGAACGGTCGAAGGTGGAAACGTTTCGACGGTTTAATAAATCTTTATGCATCCAAATAGTGAAAAAACGTTGAAGAATTACAGGAGACCGAATTAATTGGAGAATGGATCCTGAAACATTTAAAAAGTTGAAAACACGAAAATAAAATTGCGGGTGATTAAATGCCGGGAGAAACTAACGTTAAAGAAATTTAGGCCAAGAAACCTACCGGAGGAGATGACGACGAGCGGAGGCAGTTAGACGTTGAAGAATTTCAGAAGACCGAATTAATTGGAGAAAATATCCTGAAACATTTAGGAAGTAGAAACACTTTAATAAAAATACGGGTGATTAATTGCTGGGAAGAACAAACATGAAGCAGTTTAAGAGACTGAAACATTTGGAGAGAAACCTACCATACGGAGAGTGGAGTCAGCTAGGGCAAGCAGAAGAGTATGGAGGATGGGTCGAAGATGAAGAGGCAAAGGCGATATTAGGATAGGTTTAGACTTGCATGAATAGCTTTGAATTAATAAAACATTCATAAGAATTAATAAGTGAAACGGAAATTAGGGATGGTAAAACGTGCAGAAAATTTAAAATTTATTTAGAATAGTTTCGGAGCAATTTGAAACTACTATCTTAAGTTAAATAGCTTTGAATTAATAAAACATTTATAAGAATTAATAAATTAAATAAGTGAAACGGAACTTAGGGAATCTCGAGGGATGGTAAATTAAATGAGCTTCATATATATAAAGAGAAATTTGTTGACTTGTTAATTATTTATAATAGAATTGAAAGCTAAGATAATTTAAGAAATAATTTTCTGATATAATATGCAAAATTAAATTTGTATTAAAAATGAGAATTTTTTCTTATGAAAATAAAAGTGATGGATACTCTATATTATTGAGATATGTGAGAAACATGTGTAATATTGACATCATTTATGAAAATGAGCAAGACACTTAAATTTACTTATTTTATCTTTTGGTATGTCGATACATTACTCATATTAAGATTGAAATCCTGCAATGATTTTCAATGGCACCTACATATCTCCCTATTTGAGAATAAGAAGATGCCTTCTCCAATGCATGATTGCATCTCCCTATGTACTTTCCAACAAAGTTGTATCTCATCTCATAACATTCAGATTGTTGGGACAAGTTGAGATGGCCCGACATAGCCGAAATCAAAGAACTATAGTAGTGGTGATGAGACATGTCAATCCGAAGACTTTTTTTATGAAAACATAAGGCTTGTGATATACATGAAAAATAGAATGAAAAAAATTTATTAGAGATTAAATTTGGACGGACTATTTACAGTACAATAACAAATCATTTGCCACAGACGTAGGATGTGTTAAGAAGAGTTTTCACTCAATTTGAATTAGAACGTTTCATCTATGAACTCAATACACACACACAGATATATATATATATTAAAATTTATTTTTTTTCTTAATAGTTTAACATAATAATATGTATTTTTTTTTAGTTATAATATGTAACTTCAATTATAATTTCTACTATCTTACGTCATTTAATTATGAGTAATGACATAGGAATTATAAGCGATAACTTAAAATTAAATTATAATAAATTGTAAATATTAAATTCAAATTTAAAGTACTGCTTTACAACTTTAACGTTATTTTATAAAGCAAATAACATGAAGCATAACCAATAATTTTTTGAGTTTCTAAGCAATAAATTTTATAAGGCATCAAATGAATATATAAGAAGTCAATGCGTCAAATAACAAGATAGGAAATGGAAACAAATTATAAGAAAAGCTTGCATTCCATATGAAGGTTAAAGCAAAGGCATTAAATAAATCTATAGAAGACAAAGCGTCCAATAAAAGCAGTGGAGAAGAACCAAGATATAATAAGAGTAATATTAATAAGACTAGTATAAATACTCGTGCGTAAAGTGCACGTAGCTAAAAATGAATATAGATTAATGTAGTCATGCCATCAAATAAGCAAATAAAAGATGTACTAATCTCATCAAAATTTTCAATGACGAGCAATAAGTGAAAATTAAGGTTTTGAAAACCGGACGAGACAACGAGCCGGAAGAAGGAGAGGTTCTCGGTACGACCGGTCGGACCGGTCAAACCGGATGACGTAATAAATAACAATATTATTAAAAATTATAAAATAAATGAGAAATTTTCCACTAATACCTTCACTCAAAATTTCATTTTCATATCAAACTAATCAAAAAACCTAAATGTGACATCACTTAAGTTTATAAAATATAAACAATTAAAACTATGAAGCTAACACAATGCTCTAATGTTCCATTTTCAAACCTCATACATAAGCAATATATTTTAAACTAAATGCAAATAAACATAATAACATATGTAATCAAACATTTACCCCTTCCTCCCTATTACCCTTGCATCAAAGTGAACTGTAACTTAGCAAATATAGAATAGCGTTTAAAATAAATAGTTATTATTAAAGCAGTTTCACCATTTCAAGTTACTATAATAAAAACCTTTCGTATGTTGATATATACAGTAGCTAAAGCAGCAATGATATGAGTAAGAGAGAAGAAGCAGAGAAAAACAGAGACTACTGTATTCGAAACTTCATGGATAAAAATAACTATATATATATATAAGCAGAGAACAGAAATTACAAAAATACCAAACGGTTTGTTTAAAAAGCTGTTGTTTAGATTAAATCAAGGGGAAAGTGAATCATGAGATTCATGACCACTTGAAGAGAACGGCTGTACAACAGAGAAGTGGAGATTAAACTTGAAATGGTGAAACAGCTTTAATAGTTATATATATATATATACAAAGGAGCACATACCTAGAAGCTGTTGAGCAGTCGCGGGTTTCGTTAAGCTTCAATTGATGGAGCCCCGACAATGGAGCCACTGACCTCATCTCCTCCATTGCTGATCCCGCGGAACCCTCTGCATCCTTAGCAAAAAAATTGCAATTTTTTCATCAAACAAACATCCCAAAGGCCTTGAACTCAAACAGAAAGAAAAAAAACTTTCAAGACAAAACCTAAAAATTTAGGGTTTCTAAAAAACTTACATCCCACAATTTTTAAGAAGAGAGAAGTGGGGATTGAGATGCGAGAGAGGAATTCTATATTCGTTTCATTTCGTTAGAGAGATAAGCTCGTGGACATCGCCAACAAAGAGTACGTCGAGAGGTTGGGTCAGGTGACCGGAGGCGGAAAATAAGTTCGGACATCCAATAAAAATTTGCCGCGTCACCTTGCGCTTTTTGACTTGCGCTTTAGTTGCGCTTTGGTTGAGCTTTAGTTGCGCTTTAGTTGCGCTTTGGTTGCGCTTTAGTTGCGCTTTTTGACTTGCGCTTTAGTTGCGCTATACCTGCGCTATACCTGCGCTTTACTTGCGCTAATTTTAAAATAATATTTTATTAATATCCGGACCTATCTCTGCGTTCGGTCACCTGACCCAATAATTTGCCCATAATTGAAAGGGGACTACTCGGATATTCACGCGAACGAAGTGGATACGGAGGGGAATAGGAACCGATGCTCAAAGCGTGTTATTTGAACCGGGCGGGGTTCTTTAAAGTCTGCCCCGGTTTTCGGTTACCGGTCCAACTGCCATTTTATTTGGTTTTTGCTGGTTTTATTCAAGAGCTGTTCTAAGAGAGAACCGAATCGGCCGACCAACTGGTTCACAGCCTAAAAAAAACCTGAAAGTTGAAAGAAAGATCCTGAAATTCGAAAGAAATCTCACAAGCAGTTATTATCCTATCCTTGGGTGTGATAGCTATTTGCACTCAACGAATGCTGGGGTGTAATCGTTATTTGAACTCATTGAGATGATAGCATCAACAAAGATGGTGAGGCTTCTTGAAAGATGTGGCACCTAGTTTATGAATAAATAAGTTGACACAATAAAATTGGTAAATATTATTTAAACCAAAAACTTTTTGCAATAATTCAAACAAAAATCTAGTTATCACAATTTGAAATTAGATTGAAAAAGTTGTAATCAAAATTAAAAAAAAAAACTAAAAACTAAAACAAAGATCTCAAAATGAAATTGAAAAAGAAGCATGGTTTAAAATTGCGCAATAAGAGGCGCGCCTCAGCGCAATTTAGCCCATTTAAGCCTCAAAGCCTACGTAATGAGTTCAGGATTTGAGGTGTACGCCTCAAGTTCACTGAGACGAGCCTCTGAAGCTCGCCTCAAGGCGCACCTCGCCTCATGGTTGAGAGGCGTCCGCCTCTAAAAATAAAAAAAAAAAAAAACTAACCTAATATATATTTGTTTAGTTCGGACCCCCCAACCCACGCACGGTCTTCCGTCATTTCCCGAAAACAGCTTTTCTCCCATTTTCTTCGAGCGACCTTTTTCCCTCCTCATTCGACGTCGGCTTCCTTCCACCGTGAGTTGCTCTTTACCTATTGCTTGGAGTTATCTTCTACCGTGAGTTAGGTTGGAGTCTCCTTTGACCAACCGCTAAAAGCTCTTCTTCTTCGTGGTTCAATCTATCACCTTATTTTGAAATACAATATCAATATGTTCTGCCATAAGGACCTCCATAATCTGCTGAGTAAGATTTCATAATCAGTCTGTCTGCTCCGTACCGCTTGGTATCGCTCGATATCGCTAGGTACATGCTCGGTACCACTCGATATAATAATGTTCGGTACCGAGCAGGTGCATGCACGGTACCGAGCAGGTGCATGCACGGTACCGAGCAGGTGCATGCACGGTACCGAGCAGGTGCATGCACGATACCGAGCAGTACATGGTATCGATAGGTACATGCTCGATACTACTAGGTACATGCTCGATACCGCTCGATACATGCTTGGTACCGCTCGGTATCTTTTCATACAAACAACTTATGAACTTTAAAAACAAGCAGAACTTCAAAATTACTCTTATAATAAAAATTTGTTTCGAGGGCGCTGACCCCAGAAACCCTCGCCAGGGGGCAGCGCCCCCTTGGACCCCCGATAGACCGGTATATTATTGTATTCATCATCTTTAGTAATAGTTATTAGTGTTAGTCTGCTTCTTCATGAGTGCATACTTTGTATAAATTTTCTTAATGTAGAATAAGTGAAGCATTATGTTTAAGGATTCGATATATTGCACTAATATATTCTTCTCATAAAGGATAGTTACAAGTAAGGATAAAGTTGCATCATGTCATACAAAAGATATAGCATAGAAACATAGCACTTAGGTGGATGTAGGGGGAAGTGATAAAATATATATCTATTTAAAATGCAATCATTATGATAAAATTATAAAGGGCGGTGTGACTAGAATGAAGAATCGCCTTCAGGATCTCACAAGAATGTTGCTTCATGCTCTAAAGTCTCTGATACTGTAAGAGATGAGATAAAGTCATACATGAATAAGTCTACTACGTCAAAACATCTTGCACAAAAGCATTTTGAGGATAGAGTTAATATTGGCTCTTACTACGGGAATGAGTGCAGCGTTAGAGATTCATCTTCTTCAATGAAGCCCATTTTATCTAGGGGTGCTAGAGGGTCTATGAATCATTATTTGGTGGACACATCAGAGGATAGACCTCCTACTACACAGAAGATGGCCTCAAAATAATTAAGAGAGGCACTGAGAAGAGTGTATAAGGATATAGGTAGATTCTTCTACGAAAATATAATTCCATTTAATGTTACAACATCACCTGCCTATTACAACATGATCTGTTCAGTTGGAACATTTGGGAGAGGGTTCAAACCTCCAATCATATATGATTTGGGAATATGGATTCTGAAGGAGGATTTGTAAAGCACTGATAAAAGCATCAAAGAAATTAAGAGGACTTAGGCCCAAACAAGAGTAACAATTATGTTAGATGGGTGATCTGATATTAAATATAGAAGTCTGATCAACATTCTCATTAATAATCTTTATGGTGCTGTATTTTTTAAGATCATTTGAAGCATCTGATTAGGTCAAAAATGTTATGTTCATATTTGAATTATTATATAGCATTATTGAGGAGGTTAGAAAACATTTGGTTGTATAAGTTATGACAGATAAAACAAGTGCTTACAAGGCTACAGGTAACAAACTTATGGAGAAGAGGAAATATTTTTACTAGAATGTGTTGCATATTGTATAGATCTGATTCTTTAAAAGCTTAGGAAGCTACCTCAATATAAGAATGCACTTAGTAAAGCAAAAAAACAAAAAACCAAGTTTATTTTACAACCACTCTTACATTTTAGCTCTTACGAGAAAATTTTTAAAGAAAGAAATACCAAGATCAGTAGCAACAAGATTTGTCACTGGTTACTTGAACTTAGAGAGCATGTTGGATGTTAGACAATCTTTAGAGGCTATGTTCATAGTGGTTGAGTTGTGCTTGGGTGAAGAAAGCTGAGGGAAAAGAGATTAGAAAAATTATTTTAAATGAAAGATTTTGGCAAAGTATCATATATGCTTAGATCTGATTTTTGAGAAGCTTGGGGAGCTAACTCAACATAAGAATGCACTTAGTAAAGAAAAAAAAAATAATCAAGTTTATTTACAATCACTATTGAGTTATAGCTCTTATGAGAAAATTTTCAAAGAAAGAAATTCTAAGGCTAACAACAATAAGATTTGTCATTGCTTACTTGACCTTAGAGAGCATGCTGGGTGCTAGACAACCTTTAGAGCCTATGTTCACATCTGCACAGTGGTTGAGTTGTGCTTGGGCAAAAAAGGCTGAGTGAAAAGAGATTAGAAAAATTATTTTAAATGATAGATTTTGACAAAATATCTTATATGTCATTACAACCACTAAACATTTGGTTCAAGCTTTAAGGATGATGGATGTGAGAAGAAGCCTACAATGAATTTCATATATAATGCCATGGATAAAGCCAAAGAAATAATTGCCTCCAACTTAGGAGGCGAAGAGGGTAGCTTTAGGGTAATTTGGAATATTATTGATGATAGGTGGGAGTTATAACTTCACTGGCACTTGCATGCAACTGGTTATTACCTAAACCCTTAGATCAATATGCAGAGAACAAATCTACAAACTCTGAAATAAAGTTGGGATTATATCATTGCATGGATTATCTAATAAGTGATGCAACTGAAAGATCAAATGCTGACATGCAATTGACACCTTTTAGGAACAAAGAACGCTTTTTTTATTACAACAAGCAAATAATACAATTGTCAAATGATCTCCAGGTAATTTATTTAATAATTTAAACATTTATTTAAAAGTTTATCTTTTTGCACTAATTAAAATCTCTTATATAAATATTAGTTGAGTGGTGGATTCAATTTAGCGATGGGACTTCAGAATTGTAGCATTTTGCTGTAAAAGTTTTGGGCTTGATATGCTCTTCATCTGGCTGTGAAAGAAATTAGAGTACCTACAACCAAGTACATACAAAGAGAAGAAATTGCTTGTCCACATTGAGGATAAATTCACTGGTATACATTATGTACAATAGGAGACTCAGAGATAAGAATTTGAAGAAAAAAGAATTAATGGATGATGAAGATCCTTTGTTTTGCGAGGATGTGGCATCTGATGATGAATAGTTTATACATGATAAAGTTGAAGTGATGTCATCTGAATTACAAGATGAAAATTTAAATATTGATTTCTTTGATGGTTTGAAAGCATCTACATCCACCACAACTCAAGAATAAATCAAAAAAGGTATATAAATAATATAGTTTTCTTAGACTTTTATTAATGTATTACACTATTATTTATTTTGAAATTGTTCAAAAATATTTAGAGAAGAGGAAGATAATTGATATTGAGGAAGGACCTTATTAGGAGACATTAGACCTTATAGGAGAGGAGAAAGGTGAGAGAGCAGTTCATCATAATGATGATTCAAATGAAGACCCCCTTAGTGATGACAGTATTGATGACTTATGAGTTCTTATGTGATATGTCATTGCTATTTATTTTTTGAATTATATGTTAATGAAAAGAATACAGTGATTTGTAAAAGATGGAGTTTGAGTTCAATTATATTTCATGTTGTCTTATTATTGAGATATTTTGATTTCACTTTATATCTTGTGCATTTTTATGTTTTATATATTATTTACTCATTAGTATATACAACACGATTTTTTGATTTTGAGGCTTACACCTCGCCTCATGAACGAAAAATGCCTTAATACCCGATTACGCAATTTTAAACATTGAAAATAAGTAATAAAAAGAAAGAAGAACCTGGAAGTTGAAACAAAGAACCTAAAATTCAAAAGAAATCTCGCAAGCAACTACTATCCTAAGCTAGTTGCTTGCACTCAACGAAAGTTGGGGTGTAATCACTGTTTACACCGATCATTAATATATATCCTTAAATGAATTTAAATTTATTAATTAATATTTTGTAAAGCGGTAGAATATCTTAAGATCTTTTTAACACGTTTCAAATTTTGTAAGAGCATGTTTAAATATGTTAATTAGTTCAAATTCACATTTAAATTTATTAATTAATTCAAATTCATTAATTAATAGTATTTAATGTGACAGATTATCTTAAAAGCCATTTGTGAATTATGTAATATTCATTACTATTCTCTTAATTAAATGTAATTGAGAGAATACAATAATAATAATAATAAGTAATATAAAAAATTTAATGCAATAAAATAAATAGTTGAATTCTATACTTTTAATGCAATAAAATAAACTGAAGAGCCGTTTAAATGTAATGCAATAAAATTCGTATATAAGTTTTTTTGTTATTAATAGGTTATTAATTCTGTTCATTTTGAACGAGAATTAATTTAAATTAATTATTACATATTTTTAAATTTATTAATTATTTATAATATAATTAAGGGACAAGATAATTTTATAAGAAATAAAATTTAATTTCCCTTATTCTTCTCAAGACCATTTTCTTCCAAATACCCTCATTCCCGATTGTTTTTATAATAGTAGTATAGATTTGATGAAGGGTTTTTAATATAAACTTAATGCAATTTTTATGCATTAAATGCAATATGAATTTAAATGTAATACATTAAATGCATTTAAGGGTATTTCGAAGAGTATGACATTTCAACTTCAGCTAGGAGTTCTGCAATTGGGAATATGGAGTTTCTCAATTAAATGCATGATAGCAACTAAGAATAAGAATGATTGAAAAATTATAATAGCGCCAAATAGACGGTCAAATTTAGTTTGAAAGGAATAGCAATATATGGCTAGGATTTTATTTTAGAGAAATCTCAAGTCACTTTTATATAGACTAGTTTTATTGCACGTGCATTAAATGCACGTGAATAAAAAATTACAAATAAAAAATTATATTAAAAATATTTTAATTATATTGTTTCCATAAGGAACTATCATTTATCTAAGCATACGAGAAGATTTTCACATTCCCTAGTTTAGGGGTGATGCAAACTATAATAAAGGTTTCAATATATTTTAATGTTTTCTCAAAATGTAAATTGTGTATTACCATGCTTCCAAATAAAAATATAGGTCATATATAACAATAATTTAGCAATGAGATCCCATCCATATAGTTCCATAGACTTTCAATATTGCAAGTGATGTTAAGGTGAGTAGGAAAATATAAGAATCCAGCCTCTCATACCAACTGCTTTAGTGACATTACTTCAGATGCTTTCCAAAATATAAAAACAACGCAAATTGTGTTGTAAGGAAAAAATGCTTATTCTTCTATAACTTGGCGAATTCATCAAATGAAACATAAGATGTGTCAATTAAAAAATGAGATAACAGAATAAGAATTCCATAAAGATTTGTGGACCGTCGCTAGATTGAGTAGAACCATAAGCCTTTGACTGTCGATATTGAATTGAAGAATGCAAGTCAAATAGTTTCAATCAGACAAGAACAATTTTCTTTACTGACTTTCAATAAAAAATGTGAAGAAGCTTTGAATATTTAAATCACAACTGAGGAGATCTACATGGCGTACTTGCCGGGAAAGAAAGTTTTGAGAGATGAGAAATCATGATTTATAAGCTAAAGACACGTGGATGGATAAAGAATCACAATTGTCGGAATACCAACAATTTTAAGAGATGAAATGTCATGATTTAAAAGATACTGACACATGGATGGTTGAGATTTATTGTAGGAAGAATCAGAAGCCTCATTTTAATATTGATTATTATTGATGAATTCTCATGCATTTAACCGGACCTCTCTTTTTATTAATAGGGGAAAGTCTTAAATAAATATGTAATATTTAATTTGAGAGAGAACACAAAATTTAATTATTAAAGGCTAGGATTTATTTGAAAAATTAAAATGAACGATCATGATTTTATAGGGTAAAAACTCAAGTCACACTTATAATAGTAATATAAACTTATTAATTATTTATAATACAATGAAGGGACAAGATAAGTTTAGAAGAAATAAAATGGATGACCAAGATTTATTGTGGAAGAAAATTCAAGTAGTTTTTAAAATAATAGTATAGATTAGACATAACCATTTAGTTACAGTTGTAAGTGATTGTGCAATATTCAGTATAATCTTAAGTATTCATTACTCACATTAAGAAAAACAACAAATTAAAATTAAAGAACTTGAGTTATAAGTATGGTGCTTCAACTAAACAATGAAAAAGAATAAAAAAGTTGAACCAGTAAAACAAATCTTCTTCTAGTCAATAGCAGTTTTAAGAAACTTTGGCTATAAAGAAAGCTAGACCTAGAGGAAGCAACGTGCAAGTAAAGAGCATGCATGAAAAGTTGGGTTGTGCCTCATAATGGTCTGATATTAGTGTCCTGCAGCATAACAAAGTCAGACATTCAAAAAAAAAAAACAAGGTTCTAGCTAGTTGTGAGATTAAAATGATTAAATGATAATGCAATACCTCTTGAAGTTGCTTTGCGAGGGAAATTACTTCATAAAAATTTTTATCAGTTTACTAAAAAATAAATATGAAAATAATGTTAAGGAATGTATATCTAAGATAGCAATCCTAATTAAACAAGAGCATAAAGTAGATTAACAAGGTTTGATAATGAATGGACAGACTCAGTATAACAGAACAACCTTAATTTTGCCCAAAAAATATTCTGCAATTTCATATCTAAAGCAAATTATCAGAATAATGAAATGTAAACACACATTGGCCCCTATTTTCCTAGTTACCAGTATCAACTCCCAAATATCTGCATTATAACATAAGTCTTAAGCTAAATTTCAGGGTTGCAGTGAATCAAAATATTTTGCATAAATAAATGGGTTAATGAATGAATGCATATCAATAAATTGGTTATTGATCTCGGTAAAAAAAAGCAATCGAGTGAATGAAGGCAGCAAGATTTCAACTTTACACTTTGTATAGCCAACATGATTTATTCTAATCCTCAAAACCCAAGCAGAAGACACCCAAAATATATATGACATTCTGTCGAATAGATGGTGGGCAATTAACCTGGAGCGCTCTATTGTTTATGAGTAGCTTCCTAAGCCGGTTGATGGGCGTGGAATACTTCTTCTCGGTCAAGGACGAATTTATCTCCCATGCAGCTCTGGAAGGCGGAGATGATCGACTGGCCCCATGGAGGCCTCTCGACTCTCATAGACAAGGAGTCAATGGGACCGTCCCAGCTTTCAGATTCTTCAAATGGGTTGTGAGGATTTGGAATGTTGATTGATGAAAGCAAGGGAGTGGATTTGGATCCAAAAGCGATGAAATCAACTTAACAAAAAGAGTAGTTCCATGTAGAGAGGAAAAACCAAACAAAATTTGGATTTATATAAAATCTTTGTCGAAGAAGGAAGAAGGAAGAAGCGAAGAAGTTTCTTTAAGGACACTTTTAAAACTTCATTCACATGAAGCTCAGGAAGAACGAAGAAGGAGAAGACGCTACTTTAACGCCTCTTTCAAAACTCTCCATGCAAAAGCAAAGAATGAAACGAGAAGACCCTTAATAGCTATGGAGCGAAATTTGAAGCGTTTGGTGAGAGGGAGAAGATGAATTCGTCAGAGCGTTCGGCTGTGGCGTTCCCTTTCATTTTATGCCGTTCGGCTATTAAGACGAAACGATCGCCTGTGAAGAAACGCTCGCCCGTGAATGAAAATATTCATTCGCCGTACTTGGAAGCGGAAGCCGATCGGTAGGTCAGATGTGAGAGAGAAAATCTAAGGTTGAAATTGTCGGCTGTGGCCGAGGGTGAATAGGGAAACGCTCGGTAAATAAAAGTCTTAGTAAATAAAACATTTAATTTTTTTTTGTTTGAAAGTTTTTTGTGCTTATTCCATTTTTAAATAACAAATTTATTTCTCTTTATTGTTTGGTTCTTCAAATCAAGTTCTCAATAACTCCATTTGTTTCATTTTTCTGTTGTTTTGAGAAAGCTTTTTATATATACTTCTCTGTTAGAAAGTTCCATTTTCTGAACCAATATGACTTGGAGACGACTGAATCATTTTTTGAAGTATCTAATTCACTAGAGCCCCTGTAAAATTTATTCTATAAGTTTATTTGTTAAATATTCTTTTCTTTTTTTGTTAAGCAAGTTCGTTCTTTTATATGTATATATATATGACTTCAATTTCCTATATTTCTCATAAATTTTCATAGAATTAAATGATTGAGCCATATAGAAACCCAGGTCCGCATCATGCAAATTATAGAGGAAGAGAAATATATCAATTTGTTATGAATAAGTTTAGTAGTTTTGATTCTAGTGTATAGGCTTCCCATAGCTACCAACATATATTAATATGTGTGTAATGGAAAAAATAAGAGAAGAAGCATTAAAGAGAATATATTAATATTGAAAAAGAAGAAAAAAAAAAGGAAAATATATTAATAATTTGCAGTTGAATAAAGAAGAAGAAAAGTTATTGATGCAAGAACTGATAGGTAGCCGAACTATTATCTCTCAATGATACCCTTTGGTTTGGTATTTTATCGTTTAACAATAATGGTAACACAATTTTATCATTAATTTTATTTTAATGCCAAATCATTGATTTTTGTTAGGCTATGATTGAGCTTCTTAACGTTCCTCAACATGAAGAATAAATTACTGAGTATAACATTGACTCATATAAGACATAAATTTAATTTTCATTCTTTGCACAGAATTACATGTTTAAAAACAAACCAGCAAACTTTGGGTTCATACAAAATGATTGATGTTTATGATTTTTAATTGCATTCTTCTTTGCTTTTTGATGATCAATCGAAAATACTAATTCTGACACAAATTACAACTGCAGTAGTATTTTCTCATATAAGAATAGCATTAATTAAATACAACGAAGAAAGATAACTTAATTTTTAAGAGAATATAAGGAGAAGTTGAAATAAACACCTTAAATAAATAAGTTGGAGAAAAATAAAAAAATTCAATAATAATGCGGCAAACAAACCTATTATTCACCGGGCTAGAAGGTGCTTAAGCTTTGTTCCGGCTGGGCAAAATATAACCACTCTCAGGTATTAGTCATTTGAAATAAACTGTTAAATCAATCTAAATAGTTAGGATCAATTTTGAAGAAGACATAGATGTTCAAATAATTAATCCCCCAAAACAAATTCAGATATTCATCAATAAATGAATTTCTTTACTATTAATTATACAAAATTGAAAATTTATGAGAAATATAGGAAATTGAAGCCATATATATATATATATAAAAGAACGAACTTGCTTAACAAAAAAAGAAAAGAGTATTTAACAAATAAACTTATAGAAGAAATTTTACAGGGGCTCTAGTGAATTAGATACTTCAAAAAATGATTCAGTCGTCTCCAAGTCATATTGGTTCAGAAAATGGAACTTTCTAACAGAGAAGTATATATAAAAAGCTTTCTCAAAACAACAGAAAAATGAAACAAATGGAGTTATTGAGAATTTGATTTGAAGAACCAAACAATAAAGAGAAATAAATTTGTTATTTAAAAATGGAATAAGCACAAAAAACTTTCAAACAAAAAAAAATTAAATGTTTTATTTACTAAGACTTTTATTTACCGAGCGTTTCCCTATTCACCCTCGGCCACAGCCGACAATTTCAATCTTAGATTTTCTCTCTCACGTCTGACCTACCGATCGGCTTCCGCTTTCAAGTACGGTGAATGAATATTTTCATTCACGGGCGAGCGTTTCTTCACAGGAGAGCGTTTTGTCTTAATAGCCGAATGGCATAAAATGAAAGGGAACGCCACAGCCGAACGCTCCGACGAATTCATCTTCTCCCTCTCACCAAGCGCTTCAAATTTCGCTCCATAGCTATTAAGGGTCTTCTCGTTTCATTCTTTGCTTTTGCGTGGAGAGTTTTGAAAGAGGCGTTAAAGTAGCGTCTTCTCCTTCTTCATTCTTCCTGAGCTTCATGTGAATGAAGTTTTAAAAGTGTCCTTAAAGGAACTTCTTCGCTTCTTCCTTCTTCGATTTAACAAATAAACTTATAGAAGAAATTTTACAGGGGCTCTAGTGAATTAGATACTTCAAAAAATGATTCAGTCGTCTCCAAGTCATTGCCCAAAAATGTTTTTGAGTAAGAATTTTCAACCAACATGTATTCTTTGTAAAACCCCATCACTTGAGAACTTCTCAAAAAGATTAAAAGAATAGTTTCTACAAATCTCGTGATATTGAAAAACCTTCAATGGGACTTTTTCTTGCCAAGCAGAGGATGTGAGCACCCTTCAAAAAGATCAACCAAAGATATCTCAAGATCATCAATTGAGTACTTAATATACATCCCTGGGTGTCTCCTGTTCTCTATATGATATTTGAATCTTCCCAAAAAAGATCTGTAAGATGGTAACAACTTCTCTAATATTGAAATTCTTTGTTCTTCCATTAGTTGAGAATCCGGCATAGACCCATATTGATTGTGTTATGTGAACTTCCTCAAATGCAGCTTTGAATCTTTCACTGAGATAAGATTTTGAGACAGAAGACGAGAAGCATCCTCTTACATATAAGTCCTCATCCCTCCTGCAATACAGAACTCTCATCCATGTTGTTCACTAATAGCTACTTGCCAATTGCCAAAACTTAACTGTCAATTTCCTTGAATATTCACTTCATTCAACTTCGTTGATTCCTTCATCTTTTGAACAATCTAATGTAAATTGTTGGTTAAGAAGAATTGGGAAGGGAAAGCATCCTTGTATGTACCTGTGTTTTATTCTCAATATTGAGTTGGAGTATATATATTATCCAGATTAAATGGGAAGCAATAGGAGATTGGTTTATTGGCTATGACAACTACATATCAGGCAAAATGCCATCGGAGTTATTGTCGAGCAACCGAGTAGTTGTTGGTGGCCTTGAGTTAATCAACTAAATCAAAGTCTGGTTGTAATCCAAAATAAGACTGATATAGTTCATGACATACCTTGTAAGCACGTGAATAGTACCTCCACGAACAAGAATTTTGAGGGTTCTCTGAGAATAGAACTCTCAAACTCCGAAAAGATTTCTCGAATAGCTTTGGCAAGCCTGACAATGATCTTTACAACCAGTATGTTTATTGATTCCAAAGCTTTAGATTGGAATATGATGGCGATGTATGGAAGCAAATCCGTAAGGTCGCCATGGAGGCCAAGGGCCTTAAAGAGCTTCTCTGAAGAGCGATGACCAATGCTGATGGCCTTAACCAAACTTAGTAGTTGAACAGCCACGCTCTTCATCGATTCAAGAAAGAGGGTATCGTCTCCCAACTGGCAATAAAAAATTTAATCGCAAAGGTGGTGCTCGCTGGCGAATATGATCCCCATGGAAGCCCTAGCTACGTAAATCCATCGACGGATCTTGGACTCTAAAGTGTCCCATGTACTCGAACCCCTGGACATTGCAGATGCTAAGCCTTTTGATCCCAAATGGCTGAAATAGAGTTCCAAACAAACTTACGGATGCCACCACACACCTGAAAGCATTTGTGGTCATAGCTGATGAAGAACAAAGAAGGCGAATAAGTTCCCTCAGTTTCAAAACTCTCTTCAAGCGAATCCGAAGAATAAATGGGGAATAACGTCGAAGCTATAGGGAACCATTCAGCTACTCTCCTGAAATGCTCAGCTAGCTAGAGAATCGTTCGACTACACGAAATGCTGAGGGCATCTCCAACCGAAAAACTCATTTTACACTTCAAAATACAGTAAAATTCTAAAATGCAGTTAGTTGACTCCAATCGAACTTCATTTTCTAAATTTTTTTAATCATATATTTTTATTTATCAATTTTAAACCTATTATAATTTTAAAAATTGTTTCTTTTCTCGATATAAAAAAATTGTGATATTAATATGTTCTAAATAAGCAAATATATATTTAATACAATTAAAATTACATTAGAACACAAATAAAAACGAAAAAAAATACAATAGCAACTAAACATTAGAATTAGTATATTGATCCCACAAATGCTCAATTAGTGCATTTCGTAGTGCAGTGTGGGCATCTTTATTCCTGATTTGTTTATGACGAGCAATAAATTCTTGAAACTGAGTATTTTCATCCACCACTAATTTGACCTCTGGGGATGGCGCTTCTCTCGCAACTTGAATAGGTCAAGTGAGATTGCGTTCATCTTCGATTATCATGTTATGCAAAATTATACATGTAGTCATTATATCATGCAACACATCTTTGCTCCAAAAAAGAACTGGTCCAGCCACAATTGCAAAACGAGATTGAAGAGCTCCAGAAGCATGTTCCACGTCTTTTCTACATGCTTCCTGTTTCATTGCAAAATATTGTTTCTTTGGAGTACGTGGTTCCCGCATAGTTTGCATAATGGTGGCTCATTTCGGATATATATTATCAGCCAAATAATAACCCATGTTATATTCTTTTTCTTGAATGATGTAACGACAGGGAGGAGATATGCATTGAGTAAGATTAGAGAATAGGTGAGAAGATTCTAATATGTTTATATCATTATTTGTACCTGGCAAACCAAAGTAAGCATGCCATATCCAAAGATCATAATCTTCCACGCTAGAATAATTGTAGGCGATCCACTACGTCCCGCGTATTGCCCAGCCCACCCGGTAGGATAATTTTTTCACTTCCAATGCATACAATCTAAACTCCCCAACATCCCTGGAAAACCACGTTGTTCATTAATCTGAAGGAGTCTAGCCACATCATTGTTTGTTGGTGATCTTAAGTATTGCTCTGAAAATTTTT